TGAATTCCAAATTCCTTTTTTTTCTGCCTCTCCGCTCATTCACCCTCCTCCGCTCATTCACCCTCCTTCGCTCATTCACACTCCTCCGCTCATTCACCCTCCTCCGCTCCTGCGCCATCGCCTTATCTTAGTAACCTGAAACAGCGGAGATTCGAAGAATTTTTTCTTCACTGAGGAAAGCATTTCCCGTTCCCGTTCCCATGGCGCGTGTCGTTCCTCAAGCCGCTCTTCGCGCCGCGTCGCACGCCCGCTTGCTTGTAGCGTTCGTGTCGCTCCTCGCTCTGCTCCCCGCGGCTCGCATCGGGTGCCACGCGTGGGGCCACGTCGGCCACGCGTTCACCTGCGCCATCGCACAGGTAAGCTGTGTTAAGTAGTAGCTTAGCTAACTAAGTCTGGTCTTATAACTATCTGAGGCAGCACGAGGCTTTGTGGGGCCACGACGGCTACACGTTCACCTTCGTCAATTCGCAGGTGGGGTTTCTTATGTTTTCTCGTGCACCGTAAAGAGTTGAGAGAGCAAAAAAAAAAAAAAAAAAAAAAAAAAAAACCGAGACGTTAGAGAAAGTAAGGACGGGATGGTATCACGCGAATGCGTGGCCCAGGATGGTGTAACCGTACCTTGTTTTCCTCCGCCTGGTTCCTCACGCCTTGCTGCTTCGCCCATGGCCAGGGGCAGCCTCCCTGTCGTGTGCTCGTGGGTGGACCAAGCTTCGTTCTTCCACGTTCCTCGTGGGCTAATCCCCTTTTCTCCCTCGCTGATCCAGGCATTGTTAACGGACGAGGCAGCAGCAGCAGTGGCGGCGCTGCTCCCACCGGTCGCTAAGGGCAGCCTCCCTGCCGTGTGCTCGTGGGCTGATGTGATTGGGCACACCAAGGGGTGGGCGTGGTCCGCGCCTCTGCACTACATTGATACCCCTGACTTCGCATGCTCGTACGATGAACGCCGTGAGTTGGTTAGTCATGTTTTTTCCCTCCTGTTGCTCTCTCTTTCTCTCTAGTAAAACGTTGGCCCCTCCCTGAGTTTGCTCTCCCTTTCTCTCCCTGCTGTTCTCGTGAGTGGGCTGACACCAAAGGGTGTGCCTGGTCATTGCCTCTTCACTTCATAATGAACCCAACGTTCCACCTCCTCTCGCATCACCTATCTCTCCGTCCCTCTCACTCCCTCTACGCTCCCTGCCCTCCAGGCGATTGCGCCTTCGCCCATCACCCCGGTGTGTGCGTGGCCAACGCAATCATCAACTACACCTCCCAGCTCCTCACCTACTCACCCCATTCCTCTGCCCAATCTGCAACTCCACTCAAGCCTGCCGGTCTCCTTAAATCCCCTCACCGGCGTAGTCTTCTTCTCAGAGGGGTGAATGAGGCAGACGCTGCTGTGCTTGGGGGGGCTGGGGAGGAGGGAGAAGGGAAAGAGGGAGTACCGGAGGTGGGCCAAGGGGAAGAGGAGTTGGTGCGGGTGGTAAGGGGAGTGGTGCGAGATGGGGCAAGAAAAGCTGCTCATGCTTCAATCATTGCTGCTGCGGTTCCTGCCAGGCAGAAAGAAGCTGTGGGTGTGGCTTCTGAGTTGGCTCAAAAGTCTCCTGCTAGGCAGGAAGAAGCAGTGGATGTGGGGTCCATTAAACGCTACAACCTCACACAGGCGCTCATGTTCCTCGCGCACTTTGCGGGGGACATTCACCAGGTGAGGATGGGGAGATTGAACGTATAAGCAACGGCAAGGGAGCACAGAAGCAAAGGAGCAAGGAGCAAAGGGTGAGGCGTCCATCAGAGGCTATAACCTCACGGAGGCGCTCATGTTACTGCCGCACTTTGCGGGGGAAATTCATCAGGTGAGGTTCGTGGTGGGGCGCACATGTGCAACCAAGCAACGCGCAACAGGGGCAAGGTCTGTGAGGCACCACAACCTCACACTGGCGCTCATGTTCCTGGTGCACTTTGCGGGGGATATTCATCAGGTGAGGTTCGTGGTGGGGCGCACATGTGCCGCAAAGAGCCAAGGCGCCAAGGAGCCCGAGGCTGTGAAGCAAGTTACGCAGGGTGCCGCGTGTGGGGTCTGTCAGTCGAGGCCACTTTGCAGGGGCGCTCCTAGCGCACTTTGCAGGCGACATTCATCAGGTGAGGTTAGAAGTTTTGAAACGTCTCAAATCTACCATTTTAACCAGGTGCGGTGGTCAGGTTCGGTTAACCAGGTGCGGTGGTCAGGTTCGGTTAACCAGGTGCGGCTGGTCAGGTGCGCCTGGTCAGGTGCGGCTGGTCAGGTGCGCCTGGTCAGGTGCGCCTGGTCGGGTGCGCCTGGTCAGGTGTGGTTATTCAGGTGCGGTTAGTCAGGTGTGTTCTTGAGGCCATGTTAAGCCTGCCTCTCCTGCCAATTTCTCTCCTGCCTGTTTCCATGCATGATGCCTCCACTCATCCACCCATATCCCCCTGCTGCTGACGCTGCACGTTTAAGAATTGTCAACAGTTACTTGGACGCTGCACGTGAGGTTCACCTAAGGTCAAAACAGGGCGGTGACAGGGCGGTTCTTATCTGCTCAATTCAATAAAGGACCATTCGCGGTTATTTGGTGCCTCCATTCCTCTTCTGCTTCCATTCCTCTTCTGCCTCCATCCATGCCTCCATTCATCTCCCCCCAATGCCTCCGTTTCAGCTGCTGTATGTGTGCTTTGCATGATATCTGGGTGGCAACAGGGTGCATGTGACACGATCCTCTAATTTTCCCTTCCCCCATGCCTTCAACCATCTGTCCCATGCCCCCCTGGTGCAGCCTCTGCACGTAGGCTTCACATCAGACCTGGCCGGTAACAGGGTGCATGTGACATGGTCCCCCAATTTTCTCCCTCTCCCTCTTCCTTCCCATGCCTTCACCCATCTTCCCATATCCCCTGGTGCAGCCTCTGCACGTGGGATTCACATCTGATCTGGGCGGCAACAGGGTGCATGTGACATGGTTCAAGAGGAAGACCAACCTGCATGCGGTATGTCTGTCTGCCATACCATGCCATGCCATGCCATCTGGTACCATGCCATGCCATGCCATGCCATGCCATCTGGTACCATCCCATGCCATGCCATGCCATGCCATGCCATATGCCAGTATGTCCACTATCCTATACCATACATGCGGTGTGCTTCCCTGCTGTGCCATGGCATGGCATACCATGCTATTTCATTCTCAAGCCACCGCCATCCATCATCCTCATTCCCACCGCCATCCATTCCCCTTGCAGCAGCATCTGCACCACCATGCTCCACCACATCTCCTAACATTCTCCTTTCTTTCCTCGCACCCCCTTCCACCCATCTCCACTCCTCTTCAAACATCTCGCATCCCTCCAGGTGTGGGACATATACATCATAGCCTTGGCCATCCACCTGCGCTGAACCAGCCTGCTGCTGCATCACACCGTTCATCATGCCTTCAGGGTCCTTCACCATCCCCACCCCTCTCCACCCTTCTCCACCGCTCTCCACGCCAGGTGTGGGACGACTTCATCGTAGCCTCAGCCATCCACCTGCACTACAATGGCACCAGCACCGCCATGCTGCATCACATCTCCCACCAACCCACATGCCCTGGTCCCTTCATCCTCCCACCCGTCCCAACCCCTCTCCACGCCTCCCAAACTCCCTCACATCCCTCCAGGTGTGGGACAGCTTTATCATAGATTCGGCCATCCACCTGCGCTACAACGGCAGCAGCACCGCCATGCTGCATCACATCGCCCACCAACTCGCCTCAGACTGGCGCCCCCTCATCCCTGCCTGGGCCTCCTGCCCTGGAGACGTTCTTTCTCGTGCTGCTGCTGCTGCTGCTGCTAGTGCTTCTGGTGTTTCTGATGATGCTCAAATCTCATCGCATCTTTCTCCTGCTGAAGCTGCTGCCTGCCCAGCTGTGTAAGTGCCTCTGCTCTCCACATTCTCGCCTCTGACTATCGCCCCCTCGTTCCACCCTTCCAGCTGCCCAGCGGTGTATCTCGTCGCACCTATTTGCACCTCCTTGCATCTCCTTGCATCACCTCGCACAATCAGATATGCGATGGAGAGCGCAAAGGATGCTGCAAGTGGGCCTATCGCAACGCGACACCTGGAGCCGTGCTTGGAGGTGCGTTTTTGTGCATGCAAAAAGTTGTACCTAAGAAACTTTCACTTCGCCACAAGCAGCTCAATCATTTTGATTCACTTCCCGGACGCTTTAAAAAGGTGCAAAGGAAGCATACAAATCTTGGGTTTCATAATTTCCTCACGCCATGCCTCCCAAAGTGGTCAATTTTTCAGTACGTTTGGTGTTTCAAATTAATGATAATGTTTTCACAACAATCCTCCAATATCCTTCTCCACCCACCATTGTCTCCTTCGTTCTTCCTTGCCCATCCCATCTTGTCACCCAACCCCACCGCACCGCACCGTTGGCTTCTTCATCAAACTCTACAGATGAGTATTTCAAGTCTCGCCTGCCCGTTGTGGAGATGCGCATTGCCATGGGTGGGGTGCGCCTTGCCCGTATTCTCAACCGCATATTTTCTCCTCTTAGGGCTGTACAGTAAAAAACTAGTGATTGCAGCATATTTAGATATCTGTAAACAGTTAATCGTCTGTGTAGGTAACAAATTTTAAGAAGGATTTGTGCTACAAAGTATATGAGATGTGGTAATAAGTGGTGCATGAATAAGTGCTTCTTGCGATCAAGCGTGTTCCATTGGGATTCAGAAAGATTGAATCCGGTTCTTGCCGAAACGAAATTGCGATTCATTCCCAACTGCAATTCAGCCCAGGCACATCGCAGCGATGACATGCACAGCAGTGAATTTGGGATCCCTTCTCTTTTCTTTCGTTCACACTCCTTCAGGACGCGTCGTCACTCACCTCGCCTGCTTCGAGTTTCCACGATGCGAAACCAATCGTCCACCGCACTGAAATCTAGCATATTGCATCCAAACATTCTCAACCGATCGATCCTGCGCAGGATCGATCGCCAAAATGAGCCAGAGGCGACGCGTCCTCACTCCTCCCCTCTTTTCCTCCGCCATCGTTTCTCTCTCTCTCTCTCTCTCTCTCTCTCTCTCTTCTCCCCTCTCTCTCTATCTCTCTCTCTCTCTTCTCTCTCTCTCTCTCTCTCTCTCTCTCTCTCTCTCTCTCTCTCTCTCTCTCTCTCTCTCTCTCTCTCTCTCTCTCTCTCTCTCTCTCTCTCTCTCTCTCTCTCTCTCTCTCTCTTCTCTCTCTCTCTCTCTCTCCTCTCTCTCTCTCTCTCTCTCTCTCTCTTCTCTCTCTCTCTCTCTATCTCTCTCTCCTATCTCTTCTCTCTCTCTCTCTACTCTCTCTCTCTCCTCATCTCTCTCTCTACTCCATCTCTGCCTCCTCTCTCTCTCTCTCTTCTCTCTCTCTCGTCTCTCGTCTCTCTCTCTCTCAGTCTCTCTCTCTCTCGACCTCTCTCTCTACCTTCTCTCTCTCTCTCTCTCTCTCTCTCTCTCTCTCTCGTCTCTCTCGCCTCTCTCTCTCTACTCCTCTCTCTCTCTCTCTCCTCTCTTTCTCTCTCTCTCTCTATTACCTTGTAACGAAGATGCGAGCAGTTATCGGCCAGAAGTGTCGAACGCCTTCTCAAAAGCATCTCCTAGCGTTTCCTTCCGTTCCCCCATGGCGCCGGGTTGCGTCCTCCAAGGACCGCTTCGTCGCGGGCCCCGTTCGCACCCCCCCCGCTGCTTCTACACGTTCGTGTCGCTCCTCGCTCTGCTCCCGCGGCTGCGCTTCGGGTGCCACGCGTGGGGTCACGTCGGCCACGCGTTCACGTGCGCCATCGCCCAGGTAAGGTTCCGTCCGTATGATGTACCTTAGGCAGCTTAGGTGCTTTGGGGAACATCCTGAGATGGCAAGAGGTGACGACGGCCACGCTTTCGCGGCGCCGCTGCCCCCCATCGCTAAGGCCAGCCCCCCTGCTGTGTGCTCGTGGGCACATCAGGCCTCAGCCTTCCTATATTCTCGCCTCCTACCCCCCTCCCTCCCTCACTATCCAGGCCTTGCTAACCGATGAGGCAGCAGCAGCAGTGGCGGCGCTGCTGCCCCCCATCGCCCAGGGAAGCCTTCCTGCCGTGTGCTCGTGGGCTGACGACATTTTGCACGGCGAGCGGTGGGAATGGTCCATGCCTCTGCACTTCGCTGGTACCCCTGACTTCGCCTGCACATACAATGAACGCCGTGAGTTTTTCTGCCTGGGTATGATGTGGTAGAGTGCGGTATGGTATGGTATCGCCATTCGGCAAGGGTCGACCTGGTCCTCGCCTCTGCTCTTCGTTGGTACTCCTGACTTCGCATGCTCGTACGATGAACGCCGTGAGTTGGCCCGACTGGGTATGATGTGGTACAGTATTGTACGGTACGGTACCCCAAGCAAGCGAGTCGCTACACCAAGGGATGGGCTTGGTTCTCGGCTCTCTGTGTTATTGATATGAATGACTTCGCCTGCTCAAATCATGGACGGCGTGAGTTGGGTGACTGGGGATAATACACCCTAAGGTCTCATGCCCCTCTTTTACAGTGCCATATCCTCCTCTCTTTTCGCTCCCTCCTTTCCCCACCCTCCTGCCGTTAGGCGATTGCACCTTTGCCCGTCACCCCAGTGTGTGCGTCGCTAATGCAATCCAACTACACATCCCAGCGCTTCACCTACCTACTCGTCCATCCGCCTCTCTCCTCCCTCGCCGCCCTTCTCCCTCCCTCCCGTACAGGCGATCGTGCCTTCGTCCATCACCCTGGTGTGTGCGTTGCAAGCGCTACCAAACCCTACCATCAACAACACCTTGCACTGCTTCACCTGCTCTCCCCATTTCACTCCCTCCCTCCCCCTCCTTCTCCCCTTTCCCCCCCCTCCTCCCTCCCCTCCAGGTGATTGCATCTTCGCCCATCACCCTGGTCTGTGCGTTACCAACGCATTCACCAACTACTCCTCGCAGCTCCTCACCTACTCACCCCATCACCCATCCGCCCAGCCCGAATCCCCTTTCCGGCGTACCTTCCTTTCGTCCTCCCCCGGACCCCCTACTCCCCTCAAGCCTGATGTTTTCCCCACCTCCCCTCACCGGCGGAGTCTTCTCCTCAGGGGGGTGGATGAGACAGATGCTGGGGTGCTGGGGAGGGGTGAGGAGGAGGGAGACGGTAAAGAGGTAGAAGCGGAGGAGGTAGAAGGGGAAGAGGTAGAAGAGGAAGAGGGAAGCGGGGAGGTGGGAGAAGGGGAAGACGTAGAAGAGGAAGAGGGAAGTGGGGAGGTGGGAGAAGGGGAAGAGGTAGAAGAGGAAGAGGGAAGTGGGGAGGTGGGAGAAGGGGAAGAGGTAGAAGAGGAAGAGGGAAGTGGGGAGGTGGGAGAAGGGGAAGAGGAGCTGGTGCAGGTGGTAAAGGGAGTGGTTGGAGACGGTGCTTGGAGTGCTGCTCATGCCTCAACCTTTGCAGCTCCTGTTGGTGCTAGTGGTGGTGGTGCTGCTGCTGCTGCTGCTGCTGCTGGTGCTGCTAGTGGTGGTGGTGCTGCTGCTGCTGCTTCCAGTGGTCGTGCTAGTGAGCAACAAGCAGCACTGGATGCGGGGTCCATAAGACACTACAACCTGACAGAGGCACTCATGTTCCTCGCGCATTTTGCAGGGGATATCCACCAGGTGAGGGCGATAGCAGTGCACACATGTGCAAAGGGCAAAGAGCGACAGGTGTGGGGTCTGTTAGGAGATGGGGGGTCTATCAGAGGCTACAACCTCACAAAGGTGCTGCTGATGCTGGCGCACTTTGCAGGGGATATCTACCAGGTGAGGTGGGTGGGGTGCACACATACGCAACTAAGCAAAGAGCATCAGGAGCAGACAATTCTACCCGTTACAACCTGACAGAGGCGCTCATGTTCCTGGCGCACTTTGCAGGGGATATTCATCAGGTGAGGATGGTGGAGCGCGTGCACATATATGCAAAGGGCCAAGGACGACAGGTGTGGGGTCTGTTAGTAAAAGCTACAGCCTGACAGAGGCGCTCATGTTCCTTGCGCACTTTGCAGGGGATATTCATCAGGTGAGGATGGTGGAGCGCGTGCACATATATGCAAAGGGCCAAGGACGACAGGTGTGGGGTCTGTTAGTAAAAGCTACAGCCTGACAGAGGCGCTCATGTTCGTTGCGCACTTTGCAGGGGATATTCATCAGGTGAGGATGGTGGAGCGCGTGCACATATATGCAAAGGGCCAAGGACGACAGGTGTGGGGTCTGTTAGTAAAAGCTACAGCCTGACAGAGGCGCTCATGTTCCTTGCGCACTTTGCAGGAGATACCCACCAGGTGAGGTGGGAGGCAAGGAAGGGTGCATGTTTAACCGCATAGCCCCTAGTTCAGCCTCTGCACGTGGGATGCACCTCAGTTATGGGCGGCAATAGGGGTGCAAGTTTGACCCCTCCGTCGCTCCATTTCTCTCCCCCCCCACCACCTCTACCCCCCCTTTCCGGGCAAAAGTCCTCGTTCAGCCTCTGCACGTGGGGTTGACATTGGCAAATGGGCGTACGCTGGTCCGTCCCCCATTTCCACTCCTCATGCAATGAGAGAGTTTTTGAGACGTCTCAAAATCATTCCATCCTCTGTGTCTCCATGCGTCGCTCCCCAATGCCTCAGCCTGCGCATGGGATTCACACCAGCTCTGGGCGGCATCAGGGTGCGAGTCTGAGTCACCCAATCCCCCCCTCTCCCCTCATTCCCATGCATCCATCTGTCTGCCCCATATCTTCCTGCTTCAGCCTCTGCACGTGAGATTCACACCAACTCTGGGCGGCAACAGGTTGCGCCTGTCTAAATCCCCCAGTCCCCCCGCCCTCATGTCTCCATTTGTCTGCCCCATTTCCCCTAGGTTTAGCCGCTGCACGTGGGATTCCCATTCCCATGCCTCGATCCAATTGTCTCATGTCCCCTTCCTGTAACAAGAGTATTTTTGAGACGTCTCAAAAATTCCCATTTCCCCCCCCTTCCATGCCCCCATCCGATTGCCTCATATCCCCTTCCTTCAGCCACTCCACGTGGAATTCATATCAGACCTGGGCAGTACGTGACATGCCCCCCAATCCTCTCCCTTTCCCTCCCCCACCTCCATGCCTCCACCCATCTGTCCCACATCCCGCTGCTGCAGCCGCTGCACGTGGGATTCACATCTGATCTGGGCGGCAAAAAGGGTGGACGTGACATGAGACTCCAATTTCTCTCCCTCATGCCTCTATCCGTCTTCCTCATATTCCCTGGTGCAGCCTCTGCATGTGGGATTCACATTTGATTTCGGTGGCAACTGGGTGAATGTGCCATGGGCTCTCAGTTTTCCACCCTCTCACCCCCCCACCCCCAATGCCTCCATTCCCCCTGGTGCAGCCTCTGCACGTGGGATTCACATCTGATTTCGGTGGCAACTGGGTGCATGTGACATGGTTCAAGCAGAAGACAAACCTGCATGCAGTATGTCTGTCTTTTCCCTTCTCTTCCAAATGCCCACCCTGCTATGGCATGACTGTTGACACTCGAGACTCTTCTAAAGGTATCAGGGTGCCCGTGACATGGTTCAAGAGGAAAACGAACCTGCAGCTGGTATGTCTGCCCTGCCCTGCCATGCCATGCCATGCCATGCCATGCCATGCATGCGATATGCCCGCCCTGACCTGATGCAATATGCCATGCCATGCCATGCCATGCCATGCTATTCATGGAAATAACCAGGATGACATCCGTAATGTGGCAGCTTGTTGGTGTTTTTATGGCATCTGTTTTTTTTTTCCTGCACCCCTCTCCACACCATTTCACCACCCTGCACTCCCTGAGGACCCTTCCATGTATGGAACGACTACATGATAGCCATGGCCATGGAGAGAGGTGGAGAAGGGGTTTATTGGTCGACGAGGTGCAGCATGGTGGTACGTCTGCGCTACAACGGCAGGGTGCTGCATCTCGTCGATCATTGATTTAACCCCTCTTCACCGCTCTCCACTCCAGGTGTGGGACGACCACATCATAGCCACACCACGGCCATCCACCTGCGCTACAACGGCAGCCACACCGCCATGCTGCATCACATCGCCCACCAACCCTCATGCCCTGATCCCTTCACCCTCCCACCCCTCCCAACCCCTCTCCACGCCTCCCAAACTCCTGCACATCCCTCCAGATGTGGGACAGTGACATCATCGCCTCAGCCATCCACTGGCGGCCCCATGCTGCACGGCCATGCTGCATCACTTCGCCCACCAACTCGCCTAAGACTGGCGCCCCTCATTCTTGAGGAAGCCGTTTCCATCCCTCTCCACCCTTCTCCACCGCTCTGCATCAGGTGTGGGATAGCTTTATCATAGCCTCAGCCATCCACCGGCACTACAACGGCAGCAGCACCGCCATGCTGCATCACATCGCCCACCAACTCGCCTCACACTGGCGCCCCCTCATCCCTGCCTGGGCCTCCTGCCCTGGAGACGTTCTTTCTCGTGCTGCTGCTGCTGCTGCTGTTGCTGCTAGTGCTTCTGGTGTTTCTGATGGCTCATTTCTGGCTCATGAGGCAATGAAATCTAGCATATTGCATTCCTCATGAGCCAGAAATGAGCCAGAGGCGACGCGTCCTCACTCCTCCCCTCTTTTCCTCCGCCATCGTTTCGCTCTCTCTTATTACGCTTGTAACGAAGATGCGAGCATTTATCGCCCAGCGTGCGACGCCTTCTCAAAAGCATCTCCCAGCGTTTCCGTTCCCCCATGGCGGGTTGCGTCCTCCAAGCCGCTCGTCGCGGCCCGTCGCACCCCCGCTTGCTTGTAGCGTTCGTGTCGGTCCTCGCTGTGCTCTCCGCGGCTCGCATCGGGCGCCACGCGTGGGGTCACGTCGGCCACGCGTTCACCTGCGCCATCGCGCAGGTGGGGTTCCGTCCGTACGATGTACCTTAGGCAGCTTAGGTGCTTTGGGGAACATCCTGAGATGGCAAGAGGTCACGACGGCCACGCTTTCACGGCGCTGCTGCCCCCCATCGCTAAGGCCAGCATCCCTGCGGTGCGCTCGTGGGCACATCAGGCCTCAGCCTTCCTATATTCTCGCCTCCTACCCCCCTCCCTCCCTCCCTATCCAGGCAGCAGCAGCAGTGGCGGCGCTGCTCCCCCCCACAGCCAGGGGCAGCCTCCCTGCGGTGTGCGTGCCTTATGGGCTGATCATCCCTCATCTTTCCCATCTGTGGCTCGCTCATCCTCGAACCCCAATTGCCCATCCAGGCTCTTCTGACCAACGAGGCAGCAGCAGCAGTGAAGGCGCTGCTTCCCCCCGTCGCTGAGGGCAGCCTCCCTGCCGTGTGCTCGTGGGCGGACGACATTTTGCACAGCAAGGGCTGGGAATGGTCCATGCCTCTGCACTTCGCTGGTACCCCTGACTTCGCCTGCTCCTATGATGAACGCCGTGAGTTGGTAACTGGGTGTATGCTCCCTGAAGGTGCTCCCTCTTCCTGCCTGTCTGCCGTGTGCTCGTATGGTCAACGCCTCTGCACTTCATTGACCCTGACTTCGCCTGCTCGTATGACGAACGCCGTGAGTTAATCTGACTGGGTACGGCACGGTATGGTACGGTTCGGTACGGTAGGTAAGGTATGGTGACACCCCAGCCAACGTGCCCCTTGGAGAACTCTCTCTCAATGCCTGCTGTGTGCTCGCCGTTTTAACGTTCTTTGAGGTGCCTATAAATATTAAATTATATATATATACATATATATATATATATATATGGCGCCTAAAAAATCGATTGCTTGTGGACTTCAAGGTTCTTTAAATGAAGGGTGAGTGTCGAAGCCCACGAGCGCACAGCAGGGATACCAGGGAATAGGGCCTTTCCAGGGAAGTGGTCTGCTGCTTCACAGTCAACTTCTGAGTCGCCTAGAAAGTCTGCTCCTCTGCTGCTCCGTGCTCCTGCTCTTCAAGTGCATTAGAATTGCGCGTCTCAGTGCCTCTCCTACTCTTCCATCCCACCTACTCTTTCATCCCCATCTCGTCCCCTTCACTCTCCTCCTCCCCCTACAGGAGATTGCACCTTTGCCCATCACCCTGGTGTGTGTGTTGCAAACGCTATCGTCAACTACACATCCCAGCTCCTCACTTACTCTCCCCATTCCTCCGCACAGCCCCATTCCTCTCGCCAGCGTTCCATCCCTCCATCCTCCCTCCAACCCGCCACTCCCTTCAAGCCTGTCACTTTCCCCACCTCCCCTCACCGGCGCAGCCTTCTCAGGGGGGTAGGTGAGGCAGAATCTGGGGTGCTGGGAATGGGTGAGGAGGACGGAGAAGCGGAGGAGGGAGAAGGGGAAGAGGGAGAAGGGGAAGAGAGAGAAGGGGAAGTGGGAGAAGGGGAAGAGGAGATGGTGCGGGTGGTAAGGGGAGTGGTAACGGAATAGTGCGAGGAGTGCTGCTCATGCCTCGCTTGTTGCTGCAGCTGCGGCGGCTGCTGCTGCTTCTGGTGCTGGTGCTGCTGGTGGTGGTGCTGCTGCTGCTAGTGAGCAGCGAGCAGCACTGTGCGCGGGGTCCATCAAACATTACAACCTGACAGAGGCGCTCATGTTGGGGACATTCACCAGGTGAGGATGGTCGTTATTAGACGTCTCAAAGCTCAGATGTTAGCTTGGCTCAGATGCCATGGTCGCCCAATTCCCCTTCTTTTTCATGCCTCCATCCGTTTGCCTCATGTCACGTGGCTGAAGCAGGGTGCATGTGACGTGGTCTCCCAATCCTCTCCCTCTCCCTCCCCCCCCTCCATGCCTCCACCCATCTGTCCCACGTGCCCCTGCTTCAGCCGCTGCACGTGGGATTCACATCTGACCTGGGTGGCAATAAAGGGTGCACGTGACATGGCCCTCTAATTTCTCTGTTTTGAGTCGACTCAAAACACATCCCCCTGCTTCAGCCCGCTGCACGTGGTCCTCTAATTTCTCTCCCCCATGCCTTTATCCGTCTGCTTCATATTCCCTGGTGCAGCCGCTGCACTTGGGATTCACATCTGATTTCGGAGGCAACAGCGTGCATGTGACATGGTTCAAGCAGAAGACCCACCTGCATGCGGTATGTATAACATGCCCTGGCATGGCATTCCCTGCCATGTCGTATGTTCGCCATGCCCTCCCATGCATGTGGTATGTCCGCCCTGCCTTACCATGCCATTCCCGGCCATGAGTTCTATCTGCCCTGCCATGGCATGACTGTCGAGGCTCCTCTAAAGGCAGCAGGGTGCATGTTGTTGACCGTTATTTGGGATGAAGAGGCTCTTAACACACCTTTAATCAACACTAGGTAGTCCCCACGGGGTCACCTCCAAGGGTCCTTGGGTGCCTGGTAGAACCAGCCCCTATCCAAGGGTCCATGTTTGAAGAGGGATTTCCCTAATTATGAAAATTATCGTGCGTACAAGAGCTTTCCCAACTTCGTTGCGCAGCATTCGACGACGGATTGGCTCGTGTGCAGAAAAAGCTCTTCACGTCAATACGTTGATAGAGCAACTTAACTCGTCGAAGAGATTCAGAAAATATTTCCACTAGAAAGGATTGAGCACAATCAAGCACAAGCACACGTTTTATATTTCGCATAGCACACATGCATAGGGAAATAGCAAAGTAGTTGTAAAACTGAATTTCGGACATTCGCCATGCTGTACTTGAAAACGGTTGCTCAACTCCTTGCGAATTTGACTTGATTCTCCTCTTGAAAATACCTGTCTTCAAATTCCACATATGACAATTACCTTGCTGACTCAGATGAGTGCACTCATGAGTTCCAATGTAGCTCCAATTTGGCACTCATGAATGCGAGCAAACAGTTGTAAAACGGTTTTTACCGTTGAGAAAAACGGAATAACCGTTTTGTACCTGCGTCGAAATCATTCCGCAAAGCGGTGTGACTTTCGTGCGCAATTTCTTGTTCCGTGAGTCAACTCCGAAAAACAGTTTTTCAACTGTAAATTCCGAGCACCCTTCGGAATCCCGCAGCACCCCTCAGGCGCGCATCATGCACGACCAGACAAACTGGTCGTGCTGTACTGCGCGTGGACAGGGCGATCATTCGCCCTGTCCTGTTGCGATCGTGGGCCCTGCCACGCTCGCAACAGTGCGCGAGCACACGCTCGGGCCCTCAGGGCCCACACGCGAAATCAGGACCACACGCGCGGTCAAGATTTTGCGTGCTTGACCAGCGCGAAAGTCAACAGCACCCCCTTTGACGAGTCAAAGTGTCGAGCCCCACAGAAACGCCCCATGGTACAACCACCCGCTCGCATGGGACACGCATGAAAACATGAAAAAACAAATGGGACTTTCATGGGAAGCTCATTTGAGGCTCATTGGAGCTTCATGAGAGCTTTCATTTGAGCTTTCATTTGAGCTTCATTTGAGCGCGTCATGGGAGCCTCATTTGAGCGCTTCATGAGCGCTTCAATGAGAGCTTCATTTGAGCGCATCATGTGAGCCTCATTTGAGCGCATCATGAGAACAGTGAACACGAAACTGAAAATGCACAAACACAAAGTGCAATTACAAATGAAAACGAAACACACAAAATGCAAGGACGAATGCGCACATAACACAAACAAAATGCGCACACTACAAAATGCAAAATGAGATTACATTTCTCACGCCACAAATCACCTTCAAACAAAACTCCCCATTTTCTTTTACCGTCGGCGAATAGGCGGTAGGTTTGCCGTGCAAACCATGTATTGCACTCAACACATGTGACATGGTTCAAGCAGAAGACCAACCTACATGCGGTATGTCTGACATTCCCTGGCATGCCATTCCCTGCCATGTCGTATCGTATGTTCGCCTGCCCTCCCATGCATGTGGTATGTTCGCCCTGCCTTATCATGCCATTCCCGGCCATCAGTTCTGTCCGCCGTGCCATGGCATGGCTGTCGAGGCTCCTCTAAAGGCAACATGGTGCATGTGACATGGTTCAAGAGGAAGACCAACCTGCATGCGGTATTTGCCATGCCATCCCATGCCATGGCATGCCATGCCATCCCATGCCATGCGAACAGCAGCTGCATTGCCATACTGCACCTCATCACCCGTGCCCTCTATGTCCTCTATGTCCTCTCCGCCCTCTCCACTCCTCTTCACACTTCTCCAACCGTGCTCCACCGCTCTGCATCAGGTGTGGGGATAGCTTATCATAGCCTCGGCCATCCATCTGCGCTACAATGGCTGTCACAACCCGCCATGCTGCATCACATCACCCCACCAACTCGCCTCTGACTGGCCTCTAATCCCTACTGAAGCCTTTTCCATCCCTCTCCACCCCTCTCCACCGCTCTCCACTCCAGGTGTGGGACGACTACATCAAGGCCTCAGCCATCGATCTGCACTACAAATGGCAGTCACACCAACATGCTGCATCACATCGCCAACCAACCCTCATGCCCTGGTCCCTTCACCCTCCCACCCCTCCCAACCCCTCTCCATGCCTCCCAAACTCCCTCACATCCCTCCAGGTGTGGGACAACTACATCATAGCCACGGCCATCCACCGGCACTACAACGGCACAGCACGCCATGCTGCATCACATCGCCCACCAACTCGCCTCTGACTGGCGCCCTCTCATCCCTGCTTGGGCCTCCCTGCCCTGGGGATAATCGTTCTTATCCTGGTGGTGCTGCTGCTGCTGATGCAGCATCGACCGTGTCCTCCTGCTCAGGCTGCTGCCTGCCCAGCTGTGTAAGTGCCTCTGCTCACCACATATCGCCTCTGACTGGCGCCCTCACATTCCTACCTGGGCCTCCTGCCCTGGCGATGTCCCTTCTCCTGCACCTACTGATGCTGCTGGTGAGACTCCGGGTGCTGCTGCTGCTGAATCTCCATTGGTGCTCTCGCCTGCTCAAGCTGCTGCCTGCAAAGCTGTGTAAGTGCCTCTGCCCTCCACGCACTTGATTCTGACTGGCGCCCCCTCACTCCACCCATCTTTGAGGCGCCTCAAAAGGCACACTCTGGCCCATCTGCGAATTCTCATCGCATCTGCTCGCATCTCCTTGCATCGCCTCGCCCAATCAGATATGCCATGGAGAGCGCAAAGGATGCATGCAAGTGGGCCTATCGCAACGCGACACCTGGAGCCATGCTTGGAGGTCTGTCTTTGTGCATGCAAATTGTCTTCAGGAAGAAAAAAAGCCATTGCTTGTCAGGCACGGACGTTGCTCATGTGTGAAATTCCACTCGTTATTTCCTAGGCTCGTTAAGAGATGCAAAAAAAGGCATACAGTTCTGACGTTTCCCCACTTCCGCACGCCATACCTACCAAAGTTGTTTT